CATCATCATCATCATCAGAGCTAATGACTGAAAGAAGCTCAACCAGCTGATAAAGAAGGCCGCCTCCAATTTGCCGTTTTCATTAATAAAGAACTTTTTTTTTAATTGAATTGAATTTCAATTCATAGAATATTTTTTCACTTTTCTCCAGGCAGAACCGTTGCCATGGCAATGCATTCCAGAGGAAACACCACTAAACTACTTTTAAACGCTTAGCAATGTTTTTATTATTGACATTAGGCTGCATGAATGATCATATATATTTCCATGGTTTAAGATACTCAGAAAACACATTTATTGCTACTTTACACAGATTTTAAGTGGGAATACTGGAGTTATGGGATTAATGGGAAACATGCTGGTTGATCATCTGTAGCAGTTCATCAGTTTCACCTAAAACCCATTAAGACTGAAAAAGGAGTAAATGCAAACAGCTGCTCCTCATCAACCTTTTTCACAGCAGACCTTCATAAATGAAGAGAAAAAAAGTCTTCAAACTGAGACTAAATGTGATAAAATCAGAACTCTGAGAGGCTCCTGACCTGAGGAGGTCTGATCCAGTCCGATCTGAAAATGTGTCCCGCATGAGAGGAAAGAATCATCAGCTGAAACCAGCTGTGCTAGGATCAGTTTCTGGATCCGTCCTCCTTCAGCGCTAATCACTCAGCATCACTAATCTGCTAAGAATGCGGCCTCCAGCACGCGGCTGCAGAGCAGAAACTGCAGAAATGCGACACATCAACCACAACCCCCATTAAAGCAGAATAACTGGAAACTGAATCTAGAACCCATAATCCTTTGCATCTGGCTTATGTTGTGAGACTGGCATGGGGTGGGGGGGCTAATGAGACTCTGGGGACTCACAGTAAAGTAAAGAAAACCCGCCCCCAGACTTCATGACATGTGTCAGTTTCCACAGTGCTGGGCTGAGCGGCGCTGCCTGGAGTGGGAGGGACCCTGAAGCAGGCAGAACCCCCACAGTGGAAAAGTTTCAGCAGCTGACAGCGTTTGGGGGGAGGTGCATATCTGGCTAACGGTGATCTGCTGAGGGAATGAGCAGGAGGAGGCCCTGCAGAGGTCTCAGCAGCCTCTCTGCTAAACAGTTGGAGGCAAACCAGACTTCCTGAACCTCTGAACAAACACGCCGCAGTCTTTGGTGAGACTCTACGGGCAGCCGTCCTCTCTGAGGACGCTCTGATGGCTGCAGAGCAGAAACTCCTTCAGTGAGCTGAGGGCTCAGGAGGAAAAACTACGGTTTAAAGTGGGGAAAGTTCTGCAGAGCTGAAGCTCAGAGGGCAGGTCCTCCAGGTGATGGATCAGGTAACCGCGGTAACGCTCTATCCAGCAGTTTGTCTCCTGAAAGAGGAGATGAAGGGTCACCAAGCAGAGAATCCAGGAGGTTCACTTCTCTCTTGTTCCATCTTGTTCTCACTCCATCTGTCCATTCCAGGCCGTTTCTCACCTGGTTGCTTTGCTCCGACACATCCAGGCCTGCGGCTCCCTCACAGGCAGAGCTGTGGTGTGAACAGCTGCCTGGCCGTCCACACTGCAGCCCCCAGAAGCCACAGGCAGAGTGGCTGCGGCTGCGCTGGTCAGTGGAGCCCAGAGGGCCCCAGGAACCCAGAGGAGGATAAATCTCACCTCTGAGGACCAGAAGCAGATTGCCGCTCGCTTCCACACAGCTGACAGCAGAGCTTCAGCCAGTGACTTAGTGGAAACCAAAATGGAGGCCTAGCTGAGGTTTGAGAGGGACATGACCATACAGCGCTGTAATTATATGTGCTCTAATGCTCTGAGGGTGGAGCTGGCAGAGAGACTCACAGAGTTCCTGTCAAATAAAAACATGTTCTCCACAAACTGTGACCAAAAACACAGCTTAACTCCACGCTGCAGATTCACAGCTTGCAAAAGCTCCGTGCTGCGGCCCGTTGGCCATAACACGGATTAACGAGGAGATCAGGGTTCACCGCACTGGGAGGTTCACCACAGCCTCACTGGACTTTATGCATGAAGCTCCAACAGCAGGACCTTCAGAGCATCGTCAGAAACTTCCAGCTCATCATCATCCAATGGATGGACATGAATCTTCTTTCCTGCTCCTGATCTGTTGTCATGCTTGTAGACCTGCCAAAGTCCAGCCTGTCTCTGCATGCAGACAAGCGGCGCTGCAGATCCAGTGAAGGAGAACCCTGAACCAACTCCATCTGCTGGAAGCTCCCAGAAGAAAACCATCACCTGTCCCTTTAGACCATTATAGGTCTGACAGCAGCGGCCTCAGCTGGCTGATTGAAGCCTCCACCATGTTTCCCTCTGGGTGTGGGGGGTAGGGGGGCCACAGTTCTAATAAAATGATGAAAAGCTCCTCTGACCAACAGGCAGGGATGGACTGGAAGAGTTAGTCATGTAACCAGGCCCCCCTGGGCTGGGATCTTTTTTATAAGTTATTCTTATATGTTTGAAACCAAGCAGAGGAACAGACTGGATGTAGAGATCAGTCTGGGATCAGAGCTCATCAAAGAAGCTCAGGTGTCTGGATTTAATCTGCTTTAATCTGGACACCTACAAACTGAAATCATCTGCAGCTTTTCAGCAGCAGCCTGGAAAAAAAACAGGCAGAAAGATAATTGGAGGAAGATGGACGCCTGAGGAAAACATCAGCAGAAGGTTTAAACCTGCAGAGCTTCACAAACAACCAAGAGCCAAACTCCATCCCTCTGAGCACCACTACGGCTCAGGTTACCGCTGGTTCTGGTTCTGAATACCAAAGCCAGACCCGAGTGGATCTTAATGAACAATGTCTCCTCTGCAGCTCCACCCACAAACCAACAGCAGCAGATCTGAGAGCCTCACCACAGAAAAAGGAGTCAGTGGTCTCTGCCGCAGCCCGCTGGCTGCTCCACCCCCTACCCTACCCCCCCTACCCCCACCCCTCACCTCCCC